CCCAGGTGCCCCAACAATAAATTATTTAAATTGCTACAATGTGTTCCATTACATTGTTTGAACCCATCACCATTAGTGAACCACCCAGGCGCCCCAGAGGTCTTATTTCTTTAACTTGGCGCCTCCTTCACAGTCGTATGCTCAGAGATGTAAACTATGCACTTCTGTCAATCTGGCTTTCTTTTTTTGAAGACCAAACTCATTGGATCATACTTAAAAACTTAAAGAATTTAAGTTTAAAAATCTTCTGTGGAATTTACCTGAATTTTTTGGTTGGGTAGCTGCTTGGCATGGTGTAAATCCATCAGTCATTTTATTTGAAAATACGACTGGACTTGGTCAAGCTCTTCAGGGACAGGGACTTTTGTACGTCCAGTGCCCTGCATCCACATTCCGTAAAGCAGTAAAATGAGTGGGACAAGGAGACTTGTTCTGTTTACTTCACAGAGTTTATTGATTCCTGCCCTGTGGGTGTTTACTTAGCGCCTTTTGTCTCAAAGCTTTGGCTTTGACCAAGGGCCTTGAAGAGGTGAGGAGATAAGCAGCTGCTGCTGGCACCAGTTGAGCTTGAGTCACAGGTGTGGGAAGCTGTTTTCACTGCCAGGAATAGAGAGACTCATTCAGGTTACCTCAAATAATAGAGCAATTTTCTTGTAAGGACACTCTGAGATTAAAGAAGGCTCGAATCGGTTATACTTCTGGTTCTCCTGAGAGCAGAGGAATTAAGACTAATCCAGTGGAATATAGTCTGGGAATGGAGGAGGTCACTGGTTAGACAAGCTTGTAGATACAGGAACATAGGACTCTTCAGTATTCCACTGGAATGGCAGTTGGGAGAAAGTCAAACCTATATGAATATTGCCATATTTTTCCTTGAGCATTCACTAAGATCGTAGAGAATATCCCTTAGAAGTGTTAGGAGTTGGTGATACGTGGGTAGCTCAGTTGGTTGAGTGTCTGACTCTTGATTTTGGCTCAGGTCATGATCCTGCAGTCATGGGATCGAGCCCTGTGTCAGACTGTGTGCTGAGCCTGTTTGGGATTCTCTCTCTATGGGATTCTCCCCCATTCACATGCACTTGCTCTCTCTCAAAAAAAAAAAAAAAAAAAAAAAAAAAAAAAAAAAAATGCTAGGAGTTTTGTAAATCATATTTGCTTGCTTTTTCAGACAGATGATACATTTCCTATTTTTTTCCTTTTGTATTCTTCTAGTCTGCAGTATTGTGTGTGTGTGTGTGTGTGTGTGTGTAAATAAATGCACACAGAGCATCCACAGAATAGGAAAATCTGAAGATGGAAACCAGGAGTCTGGGAAAACTTAATTTGACTTGTCATATTTGAAAACATCATCTGTTAACCTTTTCTTTTGTGAGTTTATACTGCTGTCTACTTACTATGTTTTGGAAAATGGTAATATTAAAATTGGTCATAGTAACTCACAGTAAATAAACATCAGTTTCTTATATTTGAATAGGATTTTGGAATTTACAGGCATTTTCAAAGGTGTTTTCTTTAAGTTCTTTAGTTTGTTTTAGTTTTTTTAATTCTTTTCTGAAGTTCTTAAAAAAATTTTTTTTTAGTGTTTATTCATTTTTGAGAGACAGAGACAGAGTGCGAGTGGGAAAGGGGCAGACAGAGAGGGAGACACAGAATTGAAAGCAGGCTCCAGGCTCTGAGCTGTCAGCACAGTGCCCAATACGGGGCTCGAACCCACAAACCATGAGATCATGGCCTGAACCAAAGTCGGTGCTTATCCGACTGAGCCACCCAGGCACCCCTCTGAAGTTCTTTTAAAATTCTTTCTTAAAACCCCCTGTGAAAGGAAGCAGGCAGGTCTTATTTTTCATATTTTAGAAGTTGAGAATTGAAGTCAAAGTTACACTATCCATCCCAGGTGTCACAGAAGGTGTTGGGGTGTGGCCCCAGTCAGGGCAGGCCTCCTGACATCCAGTTGGTTACCCTGCCCTTGTGTGGCAGCCCTCGTTGACAGAGTTAACCGGATATTGGCAGTGCCCTTCCTCACCTCCCTCCTACTCCCCTTCTCTGTACCTAGTTCCTGAGAGAGAACGCAGGCACACTGGGCCCAGATGTACATTGCTTTCTTCACAGCAAGACTCCCATCCTGAATCACAACCTTCTTCCTCATTTTGGTAGCTACACTAAAAAATCTAGAGAGATTGTGGAGATTACTATTAGTTTTTTTTTCTTAATGTTTATTTTTGAGAGAGCACACATGAGTCGGGAAGGGGCAGAGAAAGAGGGGGACAGAGGATCCAGAGTCTGATGTGGAGCTTGAACTCACAAACCACAAGATCATGACTTGAGCTCCTGAAGTTGGATGCTGAACCCACGGAGCTACCCAGGCGCCCTGAGGTTGCGATCAGTTTGCCAAAACTGTGCAAGAAACACTTGTGCTTCGTCCCTGCAAACGGGTATGGAAGGATATGGATATAAGGGATTGAGTTCTTGGTAATTGTTGTCAGAACCCAGTGTTTACCTTGACTACTACATATCACTTGCCTGGTGCTCTCATCTCCTTAATTGCCCCGATACCATGTCCCATTCACTATTGGGAGGTAGAGATGATAGTCATATAACTTGTCTACTCACAATTTAAAAATTGATACAATTTCTAGCAAAAATATAAAGGAGAAATAAAGGAAAGTAATCCATAGTAAGTAAAATGTATACCAGCAGGTGTGGACTTCAGTATGTACGTGGTCATTTAGTACTGGTGACTCAGATACCTGAAGTGGCATTGCTGCAATGACATGATTTTTTTTT